TCTCGGCCTCCCAAAGTGCTGGGATTACAGGCTTGAGCCACCGCGCCCGGCCAATTCTTTTTTTAATTTTTTTGTGGAGATGGGTTCTAGCTATGTTGCCCAGTCTGGTCTCAAACTCCTGGGCTCAAGCAATCCTCCTGCCTCCGCCTCCCAAAGTGCTGGGATTACAGGTGTGAACCACTGCACCCGGCTAGGAATGTCATTTTGGAAGTGATAAAGAATACTATGTGCGGGAAGTAGTAGGAGGAGCACTTGACTCGGAGTCAAGAGACCTTGGTCCTAGTCTCAATATTGCTACTACTTTGCTGTGCGACTCTTATTTTTATTTTTTATTTATTTTTGAGACAGAGTATTGCTCAGTTGGCCAGACAGGAGGACAGTGGCACAATCATAGCTCACTGTAGCCTCCACCTCCTGGTCAATCCTCCCGCTTCCACATCCCAAAGGGCTGGGATTGCAGGCACTTGGTGACTTTTGAAAATCACTTTCCTTCACTGAGCCCCAAGCTTCTTAAATAAAATGATGACTTGATAACTGGGCACTGTGGCTCACACCTGTAATCCCAGCACTTTGGGAGGCTGAGGTGGGTGGATCACCTGACGTCAGGAATTCGAGACCAGCCTGGCCAACATGACGAAACCCTCTACCAAAAATACAAAAATTGACTGGGCGCGGTGGCTCATGCCTGTAATCCCAGCACTTTGGGAGGCCGAGGCAGGCGGACCACAAGGTCAAGAGATCAAGACCATCCTGACCAACATGGAGAAACCCCATCTCTACTAAAAATACAAAAATTAGCTGGGCGTGGTGACACACGCCTATAGTCCCAGTTACTCGGGAGGCTGAGGCAGGATAATCGCTTGAAACCAGGAGGCAGAGGTTGCAGTGAGCCGAGACTATACCACTGCACTCCAGCCTGGGCGACAGAGTGAGACTCTGTCTCAAAAAAATAAATAAATAAGTAAAATTAGCTGTACCTGTAATCCCAGCTACTCAGGAGGCTGAGGCAGGAGAATTGCTTGAACCCGGGAGGTGGAGGTTGCAGTGAGATGAGATCACGCCACTGAACTCCAGCCTAGGTGATATAATCAGACTCTGTCTTCAAAAAATAAAAATAACAAACAAACCCTATCCTGTACCTCCTCAGGCTTCAGAGAGTGCTGAGTTAACCTGCAGAAAGAAGGTAAGTCCCTGGGAGGTGCTAACTAGCAGTTGCCGGAGACAGAACCAGCCCAGCCTTTGGGCTCAGACACACCTGGTTCAAATTCTGCTCTTCCTGGCTGTGTGACCTTGAGCAAGTGAATTAACCTGTCTGAATCACACTTTCCTTATGTGGAAAATAGAATATTTGTTCCATAGTTTTGTAAGAATGTGAACTGCCTTGCACAGGGCCTGGCACCTAGTGAGCCAGCACACAAGTGAATAGATCTTCTCCTAAATATATTATTAAAGAAATGGTTGGTTGGGTGTGGTGGCTCATGCCGGTTGTCCCAGCACTTTGGGAGGCTGAGGTGGGCGGATTACTTGAAGTCAGGAGTTTGAGACCAGCCTGGCCAACATAGCAAAACCTTGTCTTCTCTAAGAAAATACAAAAATTGGCTGAGCCTGGTGGCTCACGCTTGTAATCCCAGCACTTTGGGAGACCGAGGCGGGTGGATCACAAGTTCAGGAGATCGAGACCATCCTGGCTAACACAGTTAAACCCCATCTCTACTAAAAATACAAGAAATTAGCTAGGCGTGGTGGCACACACCTGTAGTCCCAGCTACTCTGGAAGCTGAGGCAGGAGAATGGCGTGAACCTGGGAGGTGGAGCTTGCAGTGAGCCAAGATCATGCCACTGCACTCCAGCCTGGGTGACAGAGTGAGACTCCATCTCAAAAAAA